TTGTAATAATACCATTGCTATTAATATTTCCAAAAATTATGTTCAACATTCTCAAACCAAACATATTGATATTAGACATCATTTCATTCGAGAGCTTGTAGAGACTCGTGTTTTCTCTCTTGAAAATATATCTATAGAGAATCAATTAGCTGACTGTTTACCAAGCCTTTAGATCGTCTTAGGTTTGAGTTTCTTAGGAAATCTATTTGATTATGCATTTAAGTGCATGCATGTATAGTTCATAGAGTCCATACAATCTTGCATGCGTCACATTCATTGTATATTCACTTTGTTTTTTTATTTCATTTATTTTAAAAAGGTAGAATTTTTGAAACTACAACATAGTATTTGATTTACTTGAACGTGCTTATTGTGACCAAGTATGTGTACAACTGATGAATAGTAGCGTAGTTTTCATTACTTTGTTTAGGTTTTCTATGGAGTACTTAGTACAGTTTTCATGTACTATCTGCATTGTATACACTAAAATCTTGTGAGTGAGTCTTGACTGCATGTGTGAGATTTTGGATGACAACTATTTACTGGTAAGATGACCTTGAACTAGTTGACATAAGCTCTAGTATATTCCCTAAACAAATTCATCTTATACTCTTGTTCGGAGCTTGTTTGACTCGAGTAATTAAGCCTGAGAGGTTTCTCCTAACTTGATGTCCTATGGCCATCTAACCTAGAATCATCGATCCAAAGCTCATTATAGGGGCTATCTAGTCGTTTAATGGAGAAGGTTTTACACATAAGATGTAAAAAAACTATGTATGCTTAAATTTAGGGGAAACAACGAAAAATCTATACATGAAAATATGAGCTTCATTGTTAAATAGGCATTAGTTGTTCTGGGTTAGACTTTCATTACCAGAGGAAAAATACTCATTTTGCAGTGATTTTTAGCATGGCATTTATCATAAATTTAAGGTTCACAGTTTTGCAAACAGGGAATTAGCGACACTTTTCCACATGGGCCACTTATACAATTTACTCCATTTTACACTTGAATTGAGTGTGTGGGAAAGTTTTCATGTTCATTGATTTTATCCGTGCATATAATCAATTGCATTTGAGTTATCATATATGTTGGATTGCGTACCATGAAACTAGATTGACAAAATAATAAAGTGTACTAAATTTCAAAAATTTCAGCAAAAAGTGTTATTTTTGTCAATACAATTTCCCTCGCTTGGTTCCGATGCTGCCGCTCAATCAGAGGCTTTGGTGCTAGCTTCTCACTCAAGCTGTAAAGTCCCCTTTTGAATTCTAACGTGAAAAGTTCAAAGTTAAAAAATTCAAATCTCCTTCCATTGTTTTTAACGATTCCAAAAGTCGGCGCACCCGAATCAAATTTGTGACTAAATTCATCAATCTATCAAATGTGTTTCTAGATTCAAGTGCTTCATCCCCATTACATCTTCAATTTTCTGAAAAATCAAAGGTAATTAACAAAACCCTAATTTTTTTCTCTTGAAATTTTTGGGAATTTTTGCCAATACATGATGCAATGCACAACTCATTCGTACTATTTGTTTAGTTTGAAGCACAGGATGTTTATACTTGGTTCATTGCATCATTTTTGCTTAATTATTATCAAAAATTGCTCAACACTTCGTAAGTTAGGTTTCTTCGCGTTTTGGACTTATTCCTTCATTTTTATTCCTTTTTGTTGGAGTTTGGCATAATATTTAGATATTAGATTGATGTTGAATTGAATTTGATGGATCCTCCATGGTTTGATTACCTTTTGCATTGTATTCATCTTCTGTGCACACCACATGTTCGACGGAATGTCACATTGACATTCTTGGTCAATATTTCTCATTTAATTGATTGCACACATTGAGCACATACTCATGAACACAGTTAGGCCATTACATTGCACTTTGGCACATATTGTATTGAATTCAAGGTTGACGCAATATCACACACATTTGTCCTTTGTACACCTGACCTCAAGGCATCGTGTCACCCTGCGTCAAGGCACCATGTCAACATCCGTCCATGCTTCACATGTCACCCTCCAGCCTTGAAGTACCTTACCTAGTTTAGTGTCTTACATCCCTTGGCTGTCTAACTTGTTTTTGTCGGGTTGATCATTCTTGTCAAGTGCATTGGGGGTTTTGTTTCATTTTGCATGTATGTGACATGTTTATTTCGATTTGCATGTATGTAGATTATTCTTGCATCATTTAGCATGTATATCAATTGTTTTGCCTCGCTTTACGTGCATCCATGCATATTATTAGTTAGAATTCACCGATGTATTAGCATCAATAGTTGCATCTATTGATGTGTTTATATTGCAAACTTGTCACATATGTCGTCTAAGAGAGCGATGACTACTGTCCAGACATTGACTACTTCGACCTCTTATAGTCAATCTAGATTCATCTCTTTTGCTGCCTAGGATGTCTTTAGGTCTCAATTTTCCTTGCGCCTTGTTCTGGTAGAGAGTGAGGTAATACTTCCCGATCTTTTCCCCAACTTTGCTAGCATCTTTACTTCACGTGGATGGGAGTCTTTACTTGTTGAGTTGTCTCCCCAGCGTAGTCTCCTTGTCCAGGAGTTCTATGCTGATATTCATGATATTAGCTGGCTTCTTTCTTTGAGGTTAGACACTGAAGATCAGTCATGACGTCATATCTATTATTATTTACATTCCTCGTGTTATTTACCCTTTATTTCCTATTTGTTGTTGAGACTCTTCCTTCCGATTCTCTTATCAAATCGACTCTTTTTAATAGCCATTGGATGGTGGTCCGAGTGCGATCAGTATTGGATCACTTCTCACTGACCAACAAATTTTGTTGACCATTATGTGCACAAATCTATGACCAATTTCATGACCAGTTTCACGTACTTCTTCCCTAGCCAAGATAAGGCCATATTTTTATATGCACTTTTACATGGCGACTCTATAAACCTTCATTCTTTCATCTGCCATCGTATATTGCATATTTTCACTTGACTAGCATAAAAACTGATCATCCATATGCCTGTTTGATTCATCGCCTTGCGATAAGTCTTCGGGCTAGTTTTCCTGATGGGACTACTAGGAGAGTTTCTCAGCCTACTAGCCATACTACTTTCTCATAGAGTAGGTCTCATGTTCCCTCTATGTCATTTCCTTCCTTCCGACCCAACCATACCAATCGATCATATTGATGTCCTTCTTTCTGTTGATCCTTCTAGTATTCTACATTCTTCTCGATCTAATATTCCTCTTACTTCCACTGTTGATATTCCATCTTATTCTACATCCGATCATATTCCATCACCCTCTACTGATCATATTCCTTCATCTACTTCTATTTTTCATTGACCCTTCGGTTGCTATCATGGGACAGATATCTGTCACTACTGAGCGTCATAGAGTAGAGTTGGCTACCTTTATAGAGGAGTCAATGGATTCAACATCATTGGCATGATGGCGATGAGTCTGATGAGGTGACAAATAGATAGGATGCTCATTAATTGTTAGTTGTCCTCTTGTCATTTGTGACCAAAAGAGGGAGTACGTAGTAGCTTTTGAGACATGTATTTTGGTATATTGACATATTCTTTGGGATGTATTCATGGTATATAACATTTTGAGATATATATGATATTTTGTTTAGTTAGATTAAGTTTTGATGCTTTGTGATGTCAATATTTATTTTGGTGTTATTGATTTACATTGATATTGTATTTTAATTTGACTAACATGATTATGAGCTTATTGATTATCTTTCTCAACTATTATTTTTTTTATTTTCTTAACTGTTTCACGTGCTTTTAAACTTGGTATTTGAGTTGTTAATTTTAAGAAATATGTTAGACAATGAAAGCAAGCTACAGTTGAGTCAGTTAGGTTGTGGGTATGTTAGTTTTATTTACTTTGACTAGTAATGTTTACTTTTGTCACAGAATGCAAAAAGAGGAGATTTTTAGATTTTAAAGTTATTGGCAATCTTTAGAAAAAATTATAGTTAAAAAAGAGATTTAAAAGTTAAAAAGTCAATTGGGAGGTTGTATAGATCAACTAGGAGTCCTTGGGTTCGAGTATCGTACAAGGAGAAAAAGTTGCTGGGAGCGCTTAGAACAGTGAAGCCACCACTTGCCTACCACTAGTCTGTCGCTCGCCTAGCGCTCGTTATCTGGGAAACCCTAGTTCGCATTTTTCAAGAGTTATATCTATTTTATACTACCCCACAACCTCTAAACTATAAATAAGCAAGCTCCACTTCATAAGAAAAGGTTTGTTGAACACATATTTCTACATGCGATAACATTCTTTCAAGATCCTACATCAGTCTATAATTTCTCTTTATTCAACCAAACAAAGAAAAACATCAAATACATCATATCAAAACACCAAAATAACCCACTTTCATATAATCTGTCAGAGTTCTGAAGATTAAGGAATGTGATCGGAGTTCCGATTGGAGAAAAACGAGTTCATTCTTGGTGATCTACGGAAGATAGACGATTCCCGAAGGCATGAGCTGGTGCAAGCTGAACCTTGGTGATTATGGCCAGGAGGTTAGATAGTACTAAAGTTAGTCGAATATGGATCATACTGTAACCTAATTCATTTATAGCATATTCTTACTCGCTTGGGCCTGGAGTTTTTTGATCCCGCAATGGGTTTTTCTCCATCATCAATTATTGGTATTATTTACTTTATGCAAATTACGAACTATGGCAATTCAACATAGGTTAGATTTGCATATGACTTCATCTAGATTAAATAATTAAATTGATTTGTTGCTTTAAATATTGATAAATTTAAATTCTGTGTAAAATACATATTCACCCCCTCTATGTGTTAGTTGGGTCGAACTTCATTATTTCAAATTATATGAACTTTTTGGTTGCCCGTTTCAGTTATTTGATGAAAGGTTCACAGTAAATAAATCTTTAACAACCACAGTGGTCGTGTTAGCTTTCGAAACTCAACTCATGTATCAAACCTTATCAAAAACAAACAATAAATGTATAATTTAGCTAACCTCTTTCTGTCAGCTTTTCCACAGGTAGGTGTTTCTGAATTTCAACATGAGAATGATCAAAATCTACTGCATTTTCATGAAAATCTTTAACTTCACCTTCAGAAAGTATATGCTTTTCTTCTGTCAAATCATCTTTCTTTACACTTTCAGGAACTGTGTGGCTTTCTTCTTCATTTACTTCTTTTTCTTCTCCTGAAAGTAATACATTGTATTTATGTATGATTTACAGAATTTCAACAGGAACATAAAACTATAAGTGAAAACACAATTAGAAGTTAGAAAGTATGTGATTACCATACCTACTATTCCTGTTGCATTTTGATTTCCCATCTCATTTTTGCATGTTCAACTGTTCTATTCCTGATTGAAATAGTTTTAGTGTCGAGAACAACAGGAATATATGAACTATTGAAATAGATTAGAAAGAAATTACTTGCCCTTATGATGGTTATAATCATATTCGCATGTTAATGATGAGGTTGCCAGAGTGCTAATACTCGATTAGTGTGGCCACTTTGTCATGTTTGCTTAAAGCAAAAGAATTTTTATACACCCTTTTAACACCTTAAGGTCCACAAAGATGGACTACAAAAAGCATAACGTTTATGTTTAACAATCTCGTTCAAATTGTGGGTGATGGGATAACATTTATGTTATTCAAATTTTGTTTTCAACAATTCCATCCATTATTTTCATCAAATGTTTGATGGTGCACAATTTTCACAAATGAGTGGTCGTGAAATTTGGAAAATAGAAGACTTTTTGTTTCTATTGTGGATTAAACATTAGAATTATGCTATTTGTACAATATTTTTGTACAACATTATGTAGAATGTTGATTGAGCCAAAAAAGTATTGATTGAAATAATGAATTGTTTTTTAAATTGTCCAATGACAATATGCCACATGACATATTGTCAAAATCATTGTACATCAAACAGTGATCTAAACATTAATCCTTAATTATGAGAGCAATGATAAATAAAATATAATTACAAGCACGCAATGTAAACACACGTTCACATACTGCAGAGTTTTTCAATATAATAGAGGGGATTAAAAGATTTTCCATGTACCTCTCTACCATGTTTACAGGGAAACGTACACCTTTAAATCTCCCTTTTTGATTATTAGGGTGACCTAATACATGTGTAAATTACTCAGTGGATACCTAAATTTATAAAATATACATACGAGGCTCTTCTCTCAAACACCCCCACACAGTTCAAAAATTTGCACCGACGCCGTATTAAACTAATCCATCTAAAAGTATACATTCCAATACACTTTCTCCCTAACATTGATACTCTGCAATGATGAATTTCAGTTAAACAAACAAAATATGACTTGAGGGTGGCAAAAGATGCTTATAAGGAAATGTTGTGATGGCCACTTGCAACTTTTTCTTACAAAAATTATTGTACTTTGCTATAAGAATATTTCATTATCCTTTTCTCCAGGACAGCCACATCCAAGGAGTTGAGCCAGCAAAACTTAGTTTTATTACAAAGTACAGGATGCTTTTTGCAGCTTGCTGCTGTGTTTTTTAGGAACATATCTATATGTCCCTAAAATTTGTTAGATACTGTTTCTATGCAGCACTATATCTTTAGTTTCTAAAATAATGTCAGTGTCGCTTGTAGCTTAATTAAAATTTCTAGGTGGCCCGCTTCACGCAAGACGTGCTTAGGACCAACGGGTGGACAATCGAGTTTGCACATTCCATCCTTCGGCCCTTCATCTATCGCCTTGGTTCTTTGATAGCTCTCTAGTTGGGAGATCTAATTATTTTGTTCAGTATCAATGATGCCAAGCCCCCAATTGCACTTTTATAGTTTCATTTCAAATAGTAAATCTATTACGTGGAGTAGCACAATCCTTCAAGGCCATTCATCGCAATATCCAATCGATATAAAATGAACGTTCCCACATCTCCAATAATCTGCTTTGAACAAAATACATCATCGAGCGCCCTCTTGATTATCAATACCCCCTCTTGTCAAGGTTACTGCAATCTTCATCATGCCAGATTTGCATTACCATGGAGGCTCAACCAGCTTGAGAGTTCAAATGGACCTCACACCGTCGTACTGAGATTTGGGTTCCATCTTATTAATGGATTAATCCAATATTGTTATAAAAGATTATTCTCACGTTGATTTTTGTCTGTACATATCAAACAACATGCATTAATCACTCTTCTTCTTTGATGTTTGAATTATCATCAATCACTCTAAACGTTAAAAGCTCTATTTTCTTTCTTAATGAATTAATTTTTTTCATATAATTCTTTTTTAATCAAAAGGAATCCTCCATTATGGAAAGGCCCTATTTCATAATAAGCCCTAATCTATATTGCACAATCAAAATCCATTTCTTAAACAATAAATCAGAAAATTGGCGAATGAAATGATTATCTATTTTTCTTGATTCTCCTTTAGCAAATATGATGTTTTAGTTTATGGCAAGTAGAACAATCATCTTACAAATTTGATTACTGTATAAAGTAATTCTTATTGGCACTCAACCTTGCTTTTACTTGTTTTTTCTGAAGTAACATGTACACTTATATAATCAACTCGCCGTGAACTATGATCGAAGAAAAAAATAAATAATCATCTCAACAACGAGTACCAAAATATAAGTGATTATAAGATGCTATGTTATGGACATTATTTTCATGTTCACTTTTATATTATTGAAGGATTTATTTATCTGTTTTTTTAATCCATTAAATGGTGGGGCAGGGAATCATTGTGCCAATTGGGCTCGTGAAATATTGGTGGGACTATTCACTAGTTTTCTTGATGTTAAAGTTTATTCCTAATTGAGGGTGGCCTAAAATTCATCATGACTCTCCGATTTTTCATTTTTCTTTAGTTTACTTTTTAATTGAAAATGGAAAATGCTATCTCTCTTGTGTGAATCAAATTCGGCCATTTATTGAGTAGATGTCGCGGATCATATATTTTACAATTTATTTAATGAGTGATACAAAAGTTCTCATATATATCGATCCGTCAAAAATTAGCAACCGAAAATTATATTTCTTGATCAAAATAATTATTAGTAGGCCTAGATATGACATTTATTGACAAGATGAAATCGGTCAGTTAGTGGTGTCAATCGAGCAGAGCGGCTCGTCGCTTGGCACGACCGCTCGGCCCATACTGTTCACGCCCACGAGCCGCTCGATCTCGTTAAAAAACGAGCACGAGCCGAGCGGGCTGGCTTGCTAGACGAGCCGAGCCCGCTC